GCACTGGGTTGTTGGAAGGCCTTGGTCTTTTCCTTGTGGCATGGTTCTGTAAAAAAAAAACTAGTCGGTAAGACTTCAATAGTGATAACGAGTCGAGTGTTACTGGTTTCATCCCTCTTGTATTTTATCATAACTTTATTATTCGTAATTGTTTGTGTGATCAGGTTATGATGTATAGTGTCCAACATTCAATAAATAAAATACATGCCAAATTTCATTGATAACTTTTAGTACATAACGCTTAAAGAGAAAAGTTTGACCTCATAAGGGTCTACATTACATCGTTACAAAAGGTAGTTTTTGGCATTACAAAACCCCTTTGAATAGTGTGATCACATAGTCGCAGGGTCGACCTACATACAAGGAGTAGCACCAACGCGTACTCATAAAATTCTACTACCTAGACGGGAGAATAGCAACGAGCTCTAATCACTGCGACCCTTCTTTGACGGAGGCTGCGATGATGTCGATGCGCCCTGTAGTTCCGCCAATTTGCGTTCGGCTGTAACCATTCTCTCTTCGAGTGCCATGTATCTTTCCCGATACTCTCTTGTTTCTGCTTGAGCCGCGAGAAGGTCTCTAATGAGTTGGTCTCGGTGGTGGGAGTCTCGTTCCAGGTTTCTGGTGCGACCCGTAGTAGACTGTACAATGGCACTTAACTCCCGGACCTGATCTGTCGTTGTCCTACCACGATCATCCATTCTTGCCATTCGTTGTATCGTGACGGGAGAGCCCTATCAGCCGGTCCACCATGAGTGAGATCATAGTAACCTCGTTGGTAGCCATATGGTGACCGTTGGCGTTGTTGTCGGCTCCATCTTTCGATATTGTTACCCAAGGGGGTTCGGGTCCATTGTAACCAAAACGGTGCGCGGGTACCCTCGCGATGTAGGGAGGGTTGAATACTTCTGGTGGTTCCTCCGCTTCGTTCCCAACCATGACTACCTCATCACCTTCCTCTTCTTCCTCTTCTTCCTCTTCTTCCTCTTCTTCTTGGTTGTCTTCCTCTTCTTCTTCTTGTTCGTCTTCCTCCTCGGGCCCTTCCTCGGGATCCTCTTCGGGATCTTCCTCGGGATCCTCTTCGGGATCTTCCTCGGGTTCCTCTTCGGGATTCTCCTCGGGCTCATCTTCAATCCATCCCGCGTTTCCCTGATTGGGAAAGTAGGGGTCCCCGGGTATGTGAAATCCTGCCATGTCGTCTGCACGAGAAACGGGGTTAAGAAGTATGTATAGGAAAATAATAATTTGGCGCTATAGAAACGTACAAATACTCCTATAGTATTTTTAAATGTTTATATTTGGTTCTTAGCGTGTTCTTTATGGAGTGTTATTAGGTTTTCAGATTTGTCGCTCATTACGACTATTCCTTAATGTGCGTAAGTCACTTCTTGGACGGATATAGTTGATCAGGCTATATCCTTCCCAGAACTGATTACACATGCTAAGGCGTATTAATAATGTTCGACTCCTCCTCTTTCAATTTATGTTCTCCTAAGTTATGACACCATGCTATTATAGAATGCATGCAAGTATACTTTAAAACAAGAAATTATTTGTTTTCAAAAGTACAACTCTTTAATTCGCTTTAAGAATCGGAGACTTTTAGTCCCAAATGTGTTTATAGTTTGTATATCTTATGTGGTTGATATACTGAATTCACTATAAACCGTGCTCTGATACCAATCTGTCACACCCCCAAACCAAGGATGGCGGAAACGTTCGGGGGTGGAGGACTTCATGATAGCATCATAACCACAATTTCAATAGTAATTCAAGCAAACACAACCAACATATATATAATTGAAAAGTTACATCACTTGTATGAATTACATGTTTCAAAAATCAATTACAATATGTTGTCAAAATATGAAAAGTTTGACGCCTCAACGTCCCATCCTCAAAAGCACTTGGTAACCCGATTAATGTTTTCCTGTGAATACAAGTTGTTTGAAAAGTGTCAACACAAGGGTTGGTGAGTTCATAAGCTTTTATTAATAATCTTATTAGAAGTCTTTCACATGTAAATGTCGCGTTGTTTCAGAAAAATCCGATATTTTCCTTGAAATCCGAAGAATGTAGCCTTACAACCAAAGACTAGAATGTATGAGAAGTCATCGTTTCTTAGTAGAAATGTTGTGAGTTTAAAATGAAATGGAAAGTAAATTTATTCTATCAACCTAAAACCTACTTTGGTTTTTATGCAACCCCGTAAACTTTATGAATTGTTGTCTCCCTAAGTGAGTCGCTATAATCATACTGTGACTATGTGAACCTGCCACAACGTTTCTCAGGCGTCGCGAAAATGAAATGACATTTGTCACCCGTAGACCTGCAGGTCCAACTGTAGCTAGCAGCAAGTGGGTGTGGGGTGTCAATCCCAATATAGATCTATATACAAGTATCACGTTCTCCCTCAAGGAGATTCTGATTATAACTACCAGGAATTATATCCCGCACTCGGACGTACGGGGAGATAGAGAGATAGAGATCGAAAAAAATAGAGAAACTCACAATATAGGATAACAAGTTTACGATAATTGTGTGTGAATATAAATATTTCTTGTATGAATGTACCTTTCTTGTACGAGTGCGTAGAGTGATGTATCATAAACTATACCTATTATAGTTTATCTAAAATGTATGTACTATGTATGAACCCTTTTTATGGAAATGTAACTAGTGTTGTGAATTTATCAAAACATAGATTAACTTTCGTGAAATGTGTGCGAATAGAAATCTTTCTTGTATGAATGTACCCTTCTTGTACGAGTGCGTAGAGTGATATATCATAAACTATACCTGTTATAGTTTATCTAAAATGTTTGTAATATGTATGAATTCTTTTATGAAAATATATTAGTATTGTGAATTTATCAAACTATACCTCTTATAGTCTAATAATACGTGTTCCAAAATGAATGAATAATATTTAATATTTAATATGAATGTCTTAATTCCAGTTCATAATGATAAACTAACATGGAAACACATTCAAATATTAGAACTTATGATTATACACTTTGCTCAACATAATACAAAGTGTTATGATATTTACATGCTGTTGGCTAACTTTAGCCATTCTGCCCTGTATTTGGAAAAATCATAGAAAAATCATACGAAGTCGAAAACTAGATCCGTAAATTTTGAGAGTTCACAAAATGTGTCTAGTTTGCTCATAAATTTTATCTCAATTTATAATGACCTCTAACTTGGGTGAAAAAGTCCAAAATCACAGACTGGTCCGGATTGTTGTTTGAAATGATAGGCAGTTTTGTAAAAATCACCATAAATTGTAGAAAAATCGTATGGAGATGTGCAAGTAGCCATTTTAAAGCTAAAAACTCGAACTATTTGCACCTTGTACAGTTTTGAAAACAAAAATGTTTAAGATGCCCAAGACAGTCCGTGAATGGAGTTGAACTTTTCTGATGAAGGCTGTTAGAAAAATCTAGTTATATTCTTAGTGTTTTTAACTTGTATTCCCCCCCTGAAAACTTGAGAAATCATGAAAATGTAGGGGTATGAACTCACCTTGAGTGATTTCAGTAGATGATTGTTGAAGAATGGAAGTGTTTAATTCAAGAACACTTGGAGATGCCTTGAAGGTTTTCGAGAATCTAACATCATAGTTAGGGAGTTTGTGTAAGCAACCAAAGATTTGAGTAGAATGAAGCGAAATAATAATAGGGAGGATGAATTTTTACTTACTAAGTGTGGAAGAACACTTGAATCCAGCCTTGGATCTCGAAAATTTGTGTAGAAGATTTGAGAGAAAGAGTGATGTTTGTTACTTAGTGGGATGAGAGAAATGAGAGAAAATGAGGAGTGTGGTTGATTGTTCCAGCTCAAAAACGTGGGAGTGAGTGAAATTTGAGTGTAAGGGAACATTGAAGTGACATAGGTAAGGTGGGGAGGTATGGCTGGTCATAGAGTGGGGTGGGGTGGTTGCTTGTGACTGCGGATCAATGACACTGCTTTGAATGCGAAGTTGGATTTAGCTTTGCTATAAGTTTCAATCGATTTTGAAATTGAGTATTGTTCGCATTTGTATGAGTGTAGTCGATGAATCGATAAAGCAAGAACATATGAGTTTTGATTCGCAATTGGATTGATGATTGAGGGATGATTCGTGAAGAAAAAACGCGAAGTCAAGGACTATGAAACTGTTGTTTGCAAGAATTTAAAAACTCGATTGTGGAGTTGTTGATGCTCATTTTGCGAAAGTAAAACAATCGAGTGTTCGCATCTATGAATCAATTTGAAGTCAATTGGGTTAATATTCGCATATGGGTTCAACATATGAATTTTTGATTTCGCAAGTTTAGAGTTCATGAACTAAACTGTGTTCGCATTTTTTTTTTGGAATGAAAATTTTGTGAATCGCATTTGATTTATTTGGTTAAAATGCGAAGGTGATTAATGCGAAGGGATGCGAAAGGTGTAAAAATGAAAATGCGAAGTATTTCTCAGTAGAATGCGAATTGGGGAAGAAAACAGAAGATTTCAATTATTGTCCCTGGAGTTTCGCATTTTTGGAATGAAAATTTTGTGAATCGCATTTGATTTATTTGGTTAAAATGCGAAGGTGATTAATGCGAAGGGATGCGAAAGGTGTAAAAATGAAAATGCGAAGTATTTCACAGTAGAATGCGAATTGGGGAAGAAAACAGAAGATTTCAATTATTGTCCCTGGAGTTTCGCATTTTTGGAATGAAAATTTTGTGAATCGCATTTGATTTATTTGGTTAAAATGCGAAGGCTTAGGAAATTTTTTTTAACACAAACTTTTCTCCTGTGATGTTTTCCCATTATCATAACAAGTTATACAATACGAACATAACACTTACCCTAATACATAAGGTTTAATAGAGTTGACCGGCTTGACTTGATGACTTGACTTGACTCAAGATTGACGATTGTCACAATTCTGTTGCCGTTGGAGATCAGACTATGACTCCATTACAATTTCAAAACAATAGCAATCCAAACGAAGAAAATATGGAGGGAAAAGGAGATAGTGATGAAATCAATTTAGATGATGATGAGCCTCTTTTTACTAGTCTCCATGAAAGTAGTTCAAGTAAAAGCCAGAGGTCTAAGTCTGTTTTCAACAACCGTCCAACCAAGAGTAAAAGTTCAATTTATGAAGAAAAAGTTGATGCTTTATTGGATGCCATATCATCAAAAAGCATACAAACTTATCCACAAAATAATCCGTCCCTAACAATAGCAGATTGCATGGCCATTGTCATCAAGTTCCCTGATTTTCGTGAAGGGTCCAACGAATTTTCAGAAGCATTGCTTATCTTCACCAAAAAGCAAAATTGTGAAGCTTTTATGTTTCCAACGACCGACATAACCAAGATGGAGTTTCTTAAGTTACTTATGAAATAATGAGTTAGCAATATGTGTTATGCTTTGACATTTATGTGTTATCCTTTGACAATATGTGTTATGCGTTGACATTAAGTTTTATGTTTTGACATTATGTGTTGTCCTTTGACATTATGTATTTGACATTTTATATGATGTGTTATTGTTTGTCTTTATGTTATGTGTTAATGGTTGACATCTTTTTATTTGTATTATGTACGATGGATAGTGATGATTCTAATTCATCCAATGATAATGAAGAATATGAAATGGAAGAGGATAGAGAATTTGAAATGTTATGTGGATTAGCTTTGAAAGGGATAATAATCGCTCGTAACTTACGTACGCCATGTCATACTTCAGACCGTACATGGCACATGTTTATTAATGAAGTACTAAATGGCCATCCTAGACGTTGTTATGAGATGTTTAGACTCAACGTACCGGTTTTTAGACAGTTATGCATAGATCTTACTACAAATTACGGGCTACAACAAACACGAAAAGTATCTATTGAGTAGTCTGTAGGAATATTCTTGATGACTTTGGCTCATGGGTGTAGCAATAGATTTGTGCAAGAATTTTTTAATCATTCGGGGGAAACGATTCACAGGCATTTCCATATAGTTTTGGAAGCCGTGCTAAAACTGAGTGCCGACATCATCAAGCCAGACGCAAACTATAATGATGATGAATATATATTAGATAAGCTTCAGTATTATCCAATGTTCAAGGTATTATCCAATGTTTATTTTCTTGGTAGTCAAACTTTAACAAATAATTTATTTATGATATATTTTTGAATTTGAAGGATTGCATTGGTGCTATAGATGGGACACACGTCGGGGCATCAGTTCCACAAAAAGATTAAGTAAAGTACATTGGTCAAAAGGGATATGCAATACAAAATATAATGGTTGTTTGTGATTTTAACATGTGCTTTACATTTGTTTGGGCCGGTTGGGAGGGGACTGCACATGATACAAGAATTTTCAATGAAGCCTTACAGAGATCAGATCTTAATTTTCCCTATCCAACGGGTGGTTAGTATTTTTTTTTTAACACAAGTTTTATGTTCTTACTACTTGTTTGAAACGAATAATAATTGTTTGTTTTATTTACATATAAATATTACGTTGTTGATGCTGGATATCTAAATACGAGAGAGTATCTTGCTCCATACAAAGGCACAAATATTCGTTATTATTTACCAGATTTTCGATGTGGACACATGGCTGCTATTCCTGAACCTTGTGGATCGAAAAAGAAATTTAACTATCTCCACTCATCATTGCGAAATATCATTGAACGAATTTTTGGAGTGTGGAAAGCTAGGTGAGCGTTATTAAGAGACATGCATGCTAATTACAAGTACAAGAACCAAGTGAGAATTGTGATAGCATCGACGACAATCCATAACTTCATTAGAAAGCTTGGTAGGTTTGATGAAACGTTTAATATGGCACAACAAAAATCCTACAATCCCGTACGAGGTGATACCGGTAGTGATGTTTACGAAGAAGGTCCAACTACACGTCGCACAAGCGATGATGATTTACATATGGCAGCAATACGAGATATTATTGCACAAGATATCATCACATTGCGAAGATGAATGTAATATTATCTATGATCTTTTTATGAATGATTTACAATTTGTATGAACGTAATTTTAATATTGTCATGGTCTAATCCAAAAAATTAGAAATATTTTAATTTGTACGAACGTAATTTATATTTTATATTTGTATGAACGTAATTTTAATATTGTCATGGTCTAATATAAAAAATCCTCTTATGAATTATTTACAATTTGTATGAACCTAGTAATTTTAATATTATCATGCTCTAATCCAATAAATTAAAAATCTTTTAAAAGAAATTTATATTTTATATTTTCTAATAAAATGTTTACAAAATTATAATATGTGTTTAAAAAAAATTTAAGTATAAAACTATATATGTAAAATAGTAAATCAATGTAAATATATGTTTATAAATATATAAACATGTTTTTTTTTTTTTTTTTTTTTTTTAATTTTTTATAATTTTACATGTAAAAGTTAATTTTTGATTTTTTCTCTTCTAATCCAAACACATTTTAAAAAATAAAATTTTTTAAAATCTTTTTACAAATTTGGTACAAACTTAGCCACACACCACTAATTCCACTTTGGTTCTACTATTGAAAATTATCAACCATAGCAATCTATATTTGACTTGTCGGTAACGGAAATCAGCGATTTTCCGACAAACAGGGCGGTTCAGGTGGTGGCCGTATGGCAGAGTTGGAAGTGATGTTCGACGGCTCTTCACTTCCAAAACATAAGAGTGTGGAATCAGTTTCATCATCAGTGTTTGATAAGCTCACCGACGAGCTCTTAATCGAAACCCTAATTCGTCTCCCTATAAAGCCAGCCAATCTCTGTAAGTGCGTCTCAATACGCTTTCGCTCTTTGATTTCCACTTCATATTTTGTACGTTGTTATCTGAATCATCATCAAATCAACAATTCTTTTGCTCTTTACTATCAATCGAAACCTACGTTCCATAACATGATTCGTCCTTCCTTAATGGGCATCGATATTGCTTTCGGATTCCCCATTTTCGAATCTCCAGGGTTTTCTTTATCTTTTCTTGCTTCTTCTGATTCTGAACAACAAAACCAAGAAACTTTTCAGTACCTAGCTTCAAACAACGGATTAGTTTTATGCTGTGCTGCTATGCGTCGTCCAATTGTTTACTTTGTTTGTAATCCTTTAACAAAGCAATGGATTTCTCTTCCTCCCCCTCCTAGTAATGTTAAAACAGTTTACACTGGGTTTATATGTAATCCCCAATATTCATGTAATGATGATAGAAAAACAAGCTTCAAAGTGGTTCGAATTGAAGTAGTTAAGTGTGAGTCACCTAGGCAACTCTCAGGAACATTGAAATTGGAAATCTTCTGTTCGATATTAGGGAAATGGACTGAGGAGTATTTCATGTCTAGTTCGAATTTAGATCATGAATTGTTCTATGGATGGAATTACAGGTGTCCTAGTGCTGTAGTTTGTGATGGATTACTTCATTGGGATACTCTTTCAAACTGTGGTATTTTCACTTATGATCCTTATAATGGTGAATGTAGAACCATTGAGCTTCCACGTGAGATAAGAAAGCCATTATGGGCTCTTAAATATTGCTTAGGGGAGTCTTCTGGTTGTCTTAGATATGCTAATTTTTCATGGGATGATACGAATTACAGAGTGTGGGAACTCAAGAATGGTGGTGAGGGTGAGTGGTTGTTGTTGCATAAAGTTCATTTGGATGAAATGAAATCAACAGTTGAAACAATTAACAAGGGTTGCATGGGTTTGCTTTCACCTCATCCACTTGATCAAGATGTTGTTTTCTTTTGGTGTCGATCTTCGTGTAGAATTGTTGAATACAATATGAGGAACAAGATTTTGAAGTTACCTTGTTTTCTTCGAGATATGAAGATTATTAGTCTTTTGAGCCCTATGTTCTTCCCGTTTGTGCTTCCTTGTTGGCCTACCACAGTTCCACTTATCAAACAACATGACCTAAGCTAATAGATCCATTGTTCAGTATGTGTAAATGTAATACCTCTTGTTTATTATTTTATACCTACAAGTCTATGTTTTCCACTCTTATTAGGACTTACACGTCTCTTGAGAAACTTTCAGTGCACATATTAATCCGCTTAAAATTGTGTTATTCACATGGTGTATTAGAGATCTAAAAGTGCAGGAAAAAACGCGTCTCTTCAATGGTGTTCCAATAGTAGTTGTCTAGGAGTATTTAATTCTCTTCAAAGTTGTTTCAACATTTATTTTACACACAAAAGGGGTTCAATAAGTTTGGGTGATAATGGATGAAGGAATCAAGGCTACAATACTGGTGATAATTAAAGAGATTTCATTTCATATGCTCCTTTAAATCAGTTTAAGTTTCCCTTTATTTATTTATAAATTCAAAAGAAGCTTTCACTGAAGCATTCGATCAAACGCTTCATGTGCATGTCAAACTACAAAAATGTTGAAAAGGTGCAAATAGTGTACTGATAAACTAAATGGAGTTGGAAGTTCATATAAGACAAATACAAACTGAAGAAAAAACACAACACATAATTTCTACATGATTTGATTTGATATATAGACGAGGAAGTTACAGTGGGTATATTTGTCAATTTCTATCAGAAGGAGGAATGGAATGAACAAAAGAGGGTCTTGCAAAGAATGAAAAAGCACGGGATTAGAGGGAATGAGATTCACGGAGTAATGAAACATTCATTTGAACGATTATTTGCCTAAATTTCAAGCAAATCTTGAATATTTTGAACGATTATATGCTAGGATTATCGGTCTTTTAAACCCTATGTTATTCCTATTTGTGCTTCTAACAGAAGTTCCTCTCATCCAACATGGCCTAAGCTTGTAGATAAAATGTTTGGTATGCATAAGCTCGTTGCTTGTTTTGTTACAACACCACATTGTATAACGATCATTGATATGACTTCTGGTGTCCTTCATTTGTATTCCTTGTAACCTACTATTTTAAAATTTCTCTTAGATTCCCACGATTTTTTATTAAATCATATCAATGGCCAATTATACAGTATAGTTGATATTTTCATGATAACATTCATATTGTTAAAATCAAAATATTTATGACGAGTAGCCAAATTTAGCAGATAGGCTCAGCTTAAAGGATGTTGGGAAATGGGATGTGTGTTGGACATAAAATATTTTAGAACTACTTTTACCTTTCCAATACAAGATTGCAAACGTAACAAACTTTCAACAAGACCAAACGAAAACACATGTATGTCGTGTGGATATTTAAGGTGAAGTTATCCTCTTAGCCTAGCGAAACTCAGCTCTAGTCTTAGAAGAACCCATTCCTTAACGACATTAAAAAATCCATAACATGCATGTCTCCATGAGTCTTTGGGGGTGTTTGGGATTGCTTTTGAACATCAAAAGTCTATTTTGTAGGATTTTTTGCAAAAAGAGCTATTTAAAATATGTTTGGATTAGCAAAATAACTTTTCGTGTATCTTTTACATGTAAAGTTACAAAAAGTCAGGTTTTTATGACTTTTTAAAACCCTTTCTTTTCATCTATACAAAAAGTCATTTCAAAAGAACTTTTCTATTATCCAAACGTCTTTTAACTTAAAAAAAAAGTTAAAAATCATTCTAAAAGCAATCCAAAAAACCAGAACCAACATCCCATAAAAACCCCAAAATCCAAATGCAAAACCACCCGCAATGCCAAAAAGGAACCCCCGACATATCAAAGAAGTAAAAACCTAGATGTTGCACATGAACAAGACAAGAGTCTGAAGATGATAACGAGGTTACCAAGGTTCTTCCAACAGTTTGGAAGCTCTCCGGACAGTTTGTTTTTAGATAGATCAAGGTGTGTTAAGCTAGTCATGTTACACAAGAAAGAAATCGGCCCCGAAAACATGTTGTCATTGAGCATTAGTGTAAGGGTATTAGGAGGAAACAAAGGTAAGTTACCCGAAAAGTTATTTGAGCTCAAATCAATTATAGGTTGGTTATCATATATCAAACCCGAAACCTTGCCATGGATCTGATTTGAGGAGAGATTTAAGTAACGAATTCTTGGAATTAACGACCACCAGAACCAACTAGGGACGGAATCGTTGATTCCGGTATTAGATATATCAAGCACCGAGAAATTCTTTTGGGCTTTCAACCATTCCGGAAAAGAATTCCCAAGTTTGCAGGGTGATAATGAGATAGTATCGAGTTGAAAAGTTGCAGACCAATTGGAACCAGTGAGTTATTGGAAACATTATCAAAGTGGAGTTAATGTCGTGAACAAGGACAGCTTGGTGCTTTAATGGTGTGACAAATAAACATAGAGTGGGAGTCTCCGAAGAGAGAAATTAAAAAAGATCCCCTTCAAGATGAAAATTTCATTAAATGGCACTAATAATGAAACAAATTATTTTCTTTGTCCGTCATATGTTTGCATAGATCGAGAATTAAAGAGCAAAACTGACAAATGGTAGTTGATAAATACAAATTTGCTTTGACAAAAAAAGAGAGAATATTGATTATAAAATAGAGATTAAACATACAAAATGAAGAGCAATTTGATTCATTGAGCATTACATCAAATAAAAAACATAAATTTAAGTGATTAATGTACAAATGCAGTATGCTTTGACAAACAATTGAACAAATGCAAACAGATTAACTATCTATATTATTATCTATTGATTATAGAGGAGAAGGATTAAACATTCAGCACAAATTTGATCCACTAATTATTACATACAATAGTGAAATAGACAACACACATTGAAGTGGTCAACAGGTCAAGGTCAGCCGAAAAAGATACCTCAGTGTGAAAGACATCCAAAAATAAAAATAGAACACGCATATTTGAGCTTTAGACAAAACACTTGAACAATTAACCCATATGTGAACAGACAAACGGAAGTATATAACTTGATAACCCATTTCCTACATGAATAATTGAAGAAAGATTCCATTTTCCAGAATTCATTGTTAAACACTTGAATCATATTGAACACGTACGCTATTTGAGCTTTAGACAATTGCTTCTCGAAGAATTTGAAAGAAAAATGGGTGGATTGTTGTGGTTGGTTGAAGCTTTTTAATTCACCGGAGATCAAATGTTTCCCAAGGTTTTCAGTAGGTGGTTTTGCAGTCAAGGTGCTAGTGAGTTGTTTTGTTAAGTTACTTTTATTATAATTATGTAATTTATGTTTATAGATTATGTATAGAATACATAATTGTTTATAAGAAATTTATAGAAGGGCATTTATGTAATTTGGTATAAATCTAGTCTTAAGGATGTTGGTACTATACAGGTTCATTTGAGACCATTTTAATTTTGTGAGACCGTGAGACCAAATCTAAAAATAATTTTAAAAAGCAAAATAAATGGAAAAATTCAAAAATTCTTTTTTTTTTAAAATATTATTTTCGGAACTTGAATTAACTAAAAAATATAAAAAAATAAAAAAAAAAAAAAAATCCTGTTTTTTTTTTTTTTTAAATACGTGAATTATTCTAAATAGAATATTACACTGACATATTCTAAAAAATAATTTTAAAATGAAAAATAAATTGAAAAATCTAAAAATTCTTTTTTTAAATATTATTTTCGGAACTTGAATTAACTAAAAAAAAATTAAAAAAAATCCTTTTTTTTTTTTTGAAAATTACGTGAAATATTCTAAATAGAATATTTCACTGTACATATTCTAAAAATAATTTTAAAATGCAAAATAAATGGAAAAATCAAAAAATTCTTTTTGTAAATATTATTTTCGGAATTTGAATTAACTAAAAAAAAATTAAAAATAAAAAAATGCGTCTCACGGTCTCACAAAATTAGGTCGTCTCACATGAACCTAACTATATATATATATATATATATATATATATATATATATATATATATATATATATATATATATATATATATATAGAGGTGTGTTCAATTGAGAAAAAAAAGGTTGAGAATTGGGGAATCATTCTCAGCCACTCATTTAATTTAAGCATAAAAGACACGGTGACAAACTTGTAAATATCGTAATAACCTTCAATCTCAAATACGTAACTATAGAAAATTCGATAACTGTTCGTTCATCATCAAAATTTTTCCACCAACCTTCAATAATCATCCAGATTTCTTCAACTAAACCGGAATTTCTTCGTTGTTCATGAAATTGAAATCGGAGTTCTGGACTCGCAATCACAATCGAAATTGAGGGACTTAGAATAGGTACTCATAGGTTCCCAATCGGATTTTCGGAAATCAAAATCAAATTGAGAAATAGATCAGAGATAGGATGTCGCATCTGAAGTCGAAATCGGAAGTTTATGATGATTTGGAATTGATAACTTGATGTTTTTAACATTTTTAAAATAGTTAACTTGTTTGCACTCCAACTATTTGATGAAATGCATAAACTAAATTACCACGTTATATTTTCATATGAATATGTTTTCTTACCTGAATCAGTATATGATTATTAAAAACACAAAACAAATATGCAAGTCTGTATGTTATTCATATGTGAATAACATATAAAAATTATATATATTTGTCCAAATACCTTCAATATTCATAAGTGAATATACTTTGTAATATTCACAAGTGAATATACTTTGTAATATTCATATGTGAATATACTGTGTAATATTCATAAGTGAATATATCATCTAATATTCACAAGTGAATATACTCTGTAATATTCACATGTGATATATCATGTAATACTATGTAATATTCACATATGAAATATCATTTAATACTCATAAGTGAATATACCATCTAATATTCACAAGTGAATATACTATGTTAATATTCACAAGTGAATTCATCGTCCAATATTAAAATATGAATATACTATTTTTATTATATGCTATATTCATATATGAATGATACTTAAATTGTAAAAAAAAAAAATCATACTTTTTATTCATAAGTGAATAACGAATGTACTATAATAAAACCTAATGCATTGTTATTCATTTATGAATAACGATAGCTGAAAATAT